GTTTCGGGTATCTCTTCTCAATCTCGTCATCGGAATGGCTCTTTCCTTCTTTCTCCTCTCTCGCTCTCCGTCATTCTTTCCTCTTGTTTCGTTGTGGCTTCGTAGCTCGATATAATAAGTATACTTGCGTTGTGTCCGCAAAGGGGATATCCATGGTTTTTGACTGGGTCCGGCGACCAATGTATGTTGATGATGATAGAAATGCAAACTTGTAATGTAGTAACCGGAATAACTTTAATAACGCAATAAACAGTGTCGTCAATCGCAACAATAGAGACAAGCTCGGCAGCACGCAATCGCGGGTGTGCCTCCTCGCGACAGAACCGAATCCTTCTTACATCTCTGTTACTCTCTATTTATCCCAAAATTTACAAACTACTGCCCGACATGTAACCGTTTCTCCATGGCGCGTCTACCCCCATTTCACAATGAAACCATCTAATCTTGTTTACCTTAACACGTCTACCATTTTTCCTATAATCAATGTAGCGCGCATTCTATGATGCTGCGCGCATCTTCTAGCTTAGCTATTTGGCTAAAAATAATACCAGTCTATGCTTCCACTTGACTCTCATGTGACAAGTGCAAATGAATGTTACAATACGAAACGACCTTCAGCTATAGTACGGGCAAATTACAATGCATGCGCGTATCATCTACCCACAATGCCCTGTCTTCTATGAACAAATGGCTGGCGTGTACATGGGATGGAGTTTATGTTGCGACGGTTGTCTCACCTTTTCCGCCCCTCAAGCCTGTAATTGAGTTGATCTAATTAATGTTGGTTTGTAATTTGGGTGCATAAGGACACGGATGCAGTTTTGTAGCTCTAGGTACTGTACGCTTAGTAACTGTCACTAGAGCTAGGTGCAGTTGTTCTAAGAACTTGTTTTCTTGTCATCTCCCTGTAAATGCTATTTTAATACTGTGAAATTATGTGATCAAGAAGTGACGTATAGAAGAGGAAGTGAATGATTAATTCGTCATGTGTGTATTGTGTTAAGCTTTTATTTCTGCTTAACTTTGCATGTTTTGTCCTTTATGTATCATTATTTGTGGATTTATTTGTTGGATAATGAATATATATATAGATATAGATATATTTGTTTTTTATAAATATTTTAATAATATAATATTGGTATTATTATTTGTATATTATTCAATATTGAGAAAAACTTGTGAATTTTTTAATTTGTGTTAATAAACAAGTTGAAACAATTAAAGAGCATCTATTTTCTAGGATTGTCTTTTGTTTATTGTACTGTACCACAAGATATGACATTGACACAGCCGATTCCTAACGGAGATACTGCGATGCCATTAGTGACCTTATCTCTTGATATAATTATCTGATTGCAAATGACTGCACCGTTGTTAATTCTCATGCTTGCATGAAAACTATAGGATATAGTCGGTTACTATATGACTAAATATCCCAACC